CCTGCTGACTCAGCTGTGAGCACCCTCCCACCCCCATCAGCACTGGACTGGAACTCCCATACCTCCGAGTGGCACACAACTTCCCCAAAAGGGCAATAGGCTACACAATCCCAAAGAAGTGGGCTACTCTATTGACTCCAGCCATTAGGCCATGCTGTCCTGGGAGGAAGGGTTTTTCAGTGATTCCAGCCATTAGGCCATATGGCCTTAGAAGGAAGGGCTGCTTAGCCACTCCGGCCACTAAGCCGCACTGCCCTGGGAGGTAGGGTTGCTCAGCAGCTCTGGCCATTAAGTCACACTGCCCCGGGAGGAAGTGCTGCTTTATTGATATTTGATAGCCAGGGTCACAAATGAAGGGTTAACTGGTGCTATACAGTTTTTTCCTTTTTCTCGGGTGAAGTGACCTCTACTCCTGTAAAAAGGCTGTACCTACTCTGCAACAAGCAGATTAAGGTTTCCTGTGGTCCTGGGTCAAAGCAAGTTGGTGAGGGGGAGCCCTCTGTACTCCTATGGCCTGTGGTCCTGCCTTTGTTCTGCTCCTTCAAACTGTAGCCTTGCCGCAGCTCCAGCACTTTCTGCCTCATCCCTGGGGCCCACCCTGCTCCACCCAGGGTCCTCCCATTTCACCTCTCCCTCTGTACCCCCCACAACATGTATGCTCCTTTCTGCCCCTCCTCCTCCCGAGACCTCAGGACCAGAGAATTTTTGTCCCTGTGCCACTGCCCTGGGGGACACAGGGGGAGTGAGAGTTCCTCCAGTCCCAGGGCTGCAGGAAGGATCCAGGTGCTGGGGCTTCTCCTGCTATCCCCTGAGCTTCTTTGGGGGATCAGCATCAGGTCACAAGGTCTCCTCCCCTTCCCACCTGCTTAGCACTTCTGCAGGAGTACAGGGCTCGGAGCTTACCTGTACTTCTGCCAGGAACAGGGTCAAGAAGTGCTGGGGGCTTCCCTGCCAGCTGCAGCTTCTGCTGGGGATAGGGTCAGAAGCTGCTGGTTGGAGGCTTTCCTAGCTGCCTCATGGTTTCTGCTAAGGATGGAGTTAGGTGGTGCTGGAGCTCCCCTTCTCCCATGACTTCTACTGGGGAAGTCCCACCTGGTGGCCTGGGATTTTTTCAGCAGATCTTTTCTGAGGTCTCCCAGTTGGCTTGGGTATAGGCCTAGTCATCCCAGTGGCTAATCCGCCACTGGCCAAACTGTAACTGGCTACTCCAGGAGTGTGCAAACCATAGGGAAGGCATAAAAAGCCATTTTGCCCCTGTACATCAACTAGAAACAACTGCAAGGCCTGGTTCCTCCTAATACCCTATGGGGGGAAAAAACAACCTGTGGAGAGAACAGGGCCCTCTTCCTGGTAAGCCAGTCAGCAAGGCTAGCCAGATGTGCAGGGTCAGTTTGCTGCATTCCTTGAAGAAGCACATAGTGGACATGGTTTGAATGTCCCCTGTGTGCAGGAGAAAGAATTCTACGTTCCTGACTAGAATTACACCAACTTGCTCTCAATGGACGTTAATGGTTATAAATAAACAATTGAGTCCTAAAAGCGCTATTGTAAATAGAAAGTGTTCATCTGTGTGCAGAGGATCAGCCCAAGGTCAATGCACCACTTCAATCCCACTTAAGTCCTCTAAGTAGGATTGGTATGAGGACAAGGTTAGTATGCACTAAAATGGCGTGGAGGAGAAAATGTGGCAAGAGAAGTGAGTGGAGATGCTGTTGAGTCCTTCAAAGATGCAGATCAAAAGTTTGACCTCTTCATGGCAAAAGAAAGGTAGTGTGACACTCACAACTAGACTATGATTTGGTAATGTGCATGTAGATGATACCCATCCCTCAGACAATGTGTGTTGGGAATAGGTGGAGCCTTGACTCCACTACACAATGTGCTAGCTAGAATACATGAAGCAACATGGTAGTATGCCAGCAGCAGATTAGTAGCCCCATCCACAGAGATGAGAGAAGCAGGGAGGGAACCGTGCTTCTGAAGTGACAAGTTCTCCTCTGAATTGCTCCAGGATGATGCAAACTACATTCTGACTCATATGCAGGCTTTGTAGAAAAGCCATAAGAATAAGGGAAATAACGATCAGATGAACTGATGAGAAGGATATTTGCAGTAGCATTTTGGCCAAAACTAACGGGGAGAGAAATGAGAAGTGGAAACTGGAAATAAGACAAAGCAGGAAACTGCTAGATTACAAATGAGCAGTGTTGTCTTCGAGTCGTCATTGTCAAGTCCAAGTTATGTCTCAAGTCACTACAGTTCAAGTCTCAAGTCAAGTCTCGAGTCCATAAAGTCACTTTCGAGTCAAGTCCCAAGTCGTGTCTCAAGTCTTAATTTAAAAAATGTCAAGTCACTTTTGTACAAGCCATCAATATCGGCATTTTCGGACAATTTTTTCACCAAGTCAATTTAACAAAATTCGAAAGTCTCAAGTTGAGTCTCAAGTCACAAACAATGAACCCCAGTTGAGTCTCAAGTCGAGTCACCAAAGGCAACTTAAGTTGGACTCGAGTTCAAGTCGTGGGACTCGAGTCAACAACTCTGCAAATGAGTAAAATCTTGCTTTTATGGAGAAATCGGTCTGCATAATGCAAAGTCTATTGTGGTATTTTGTGGACAATATCCTAAATCAGAGAAGCTATTAAACCTACAGAATGGCTTAAACTGAGGCATTGTGAATGGCGGGGAGATCTTCAATTTCTTTTACAGCATGGAACATATCTATCTAGTTATATGTAATATGTCAAATCAGCCACAATAGCTCAACAGCTATATTTTAGGGAAGAAGAATGTTGTTTGCTGAATATTTTACTTTTTGCACTTGACCCCATACAGCCGAGCAACAAACTTGCAGAAACTTTCAGCTGAAATTTTCAAAAGCTGAGATGGAGAGACCACTGTCATAAATAATGCAAAGATTTTCTTTTTGGGGTTCACTTTAAATAGCCTTTCGTATCCATAATTTATCACTAGTGGTTTCATAAACATAGATTGAGATGTCTGTCAATAGTTTTAAGCTTTTCATACTTCTAATATCCCAGACTTAACAATGATCCCCTGAAAACTTTATTCCTCACAACGGCACAGCAGTGGCAAAAGTCAAGTATGAATCTGTGCAGTATATTTTTGTTTCCATTGTAACATACTAGAGTGAGAGGCTGCAACTGATCTCTTATAAATGTGGAATGGGCTGACATTTAGTCCCAGAAGCTCTCTTCCCTCTAAAAAATTTATTTGAACAGAAATTAGAAGTTTGGTGGATTTTTTTTAAAGTTCTTTGGGGCTAACTAACGCATATGTGGGGTTTTTTTTCTGGTTCAGATGTTTTTCTTGTATTCTTCCATTACAATCATTTTCCGTAACTTATCCATAAGTCTCTTGAATGTGGACTTGATCCTATTGATAGTCAAAAATGAAACAGGCAAGTTAGCTAAAA